CATCATCTTCATTTTTCGAAAAGGATGCCGGACACCACAACAACAGGAACAACAGCAACAACAACAACAGCATGGGGGAAGGGGGATCGAGCATTTTGTGGATTTATTGACATTCTGTGATGTTATTAAAGTTGATTGCCAGAGACTGTGCACGTTTTGGCTTAGACGAAGTGCCCGAATGGCCGACACACCGAGGCAACGGGCTGCGGCGTCAGCTGTGGCATCAACATGCTGCACAGCTATAACTGTGCACGGAGTGTCCTGCCCGAGAGGGGGCGAATGCATTTCCAGTGCGGTCAATTCGAAAGAAACAATGGACAGGAGAGCACGAATTTTTGGAAACTGCATTCGTATATGTGCCTGTGTGTGGGTGTGTGTTTGTAAACTAACCTAGGAACAGTCAAAGAGCCTACAGTGGCACCACCCAGCTGGAGTGGTGGGGTGGGAATGTCATTGTCGTCACTATCCTCATCAAGCCTAATATGCGCATTATTGGTTTTTGGTGCTACGGTACGAGCTGCAGTTATCCTTAATATGGCTTGCATGCTGATACGCTTATCCTGTTGCATCCTGTTTTGTCCTGTTTGATCAGGAACTGTCCACTCGCCGCTCAACATGCAAATATGAAATGCAAATGCTCTGGCACCAAATAAAAAGCTCTACCCCAAAAACACAATATGGCTGTAGCCCAGCACTCAAATATGCACGAGTGTGTGTGCGTGTGTGTGTGAGTGTGCGTGTATTTCGCCTACAAATTTAATAAAAATTGCGTAGCGCACGAAGTCCTTTTGATCTGAGCTTTTTAATTTAACATTTCATTTTGTTAGTTCATATGCTTACAGAAGTATACACACACATACATGTGTGTGCAGTTGATTGTATTTTGCAATTTCTTCCTTGTGGGCAACACATGGCGTATGCGCAATAAATGCGCCAAGCCGCCAACGCAATTTTCTTGCGCGTGGTTTTTATTTTCCTAATTTAATTCTTTCGAACTTGATATAAATTTGCATACGCCATGGCCTTACGGATTTGGTTTTATATTGTTCGCCAACAGCTTTCATAAGTAGCTTATTAAAATTTGTTATTAATATGCTTATTTTGTTGTTGTTTTTTCGTTTGTCCCGATTTTGCTTTAATCTCTGATTTTTTTTTTTATCTCATCAAAGTTTCAGCTGCGTCAACAGCGCACGTTTGGGTAATTCATTTTTTTGTAATTTTTATTTTTTGATTAAAATCAGTTTTGATCTCATAAATAATAAATATATATGAGGGGAATTTTAAATAAATTTATATTAAATTATTTTTTGTCGAAAGCACTTAGAGGTAGGGGTAAAACATATATGTTTATTTTATGAATTGAGTGGTTTGCATTTTGGTTAGTATATTTTATGTGTTTACTGGTGTCTCATATAAATATTTATTTATTTTGAATATAAAATATAGTTTTAGTAATATAACGTGGCATGACTTTACTCATGTACGTCACATAGACTTTTGATATGAATTGGAATAGTAATAAGTAAATAAGTAGAGTGATCCGTAGAGGCTGAAGGCTGCCAATTGAGAGTTAGTGGAGTCCTTGCACTCAGTTTACTGAACAAGTCATCTCTCAATTGGCAGCCTTCAGCCTCTACGGATTACTCTACTTCGTATTACTGCTCCGTATTTGCTCGGCTCTGTCGCCTGAGGCTCGAGCAGAGCGCTGTGAGAGATCTGTGTATGCGTTACTCTCTCTGACTATTTCACTCTTTCTATCTTTTTGTGCTCTCTCCCTCCATGTAGTAACCAGAAAAATTGAAAATAGTTCCCAACGATCACTTCTCTGCCCTTCTAAGTGAAGAGATACCTAACTCTTGCAAGGGTTTGCCATGCTCATGCATTAAGATGAGTTCCATGCTAAATATATGAGCATTTTTTTGTCTGTATGCGGAATTATCAAGTCATTTATTTACTCAACTCATTAAATCACACTCCCAGTTCTTTAATTCTAATTTGCTCGGCTAAATAGTCTACCTACGAGTCATGTACGAGTGCACTCTCCCACCCGAATCGTTCAGTTTCTATGCCACCCATACTTATGCCTCTCACTGTTAATTCGAGCGCCGTTTTTCGGGCATGCATACAGCTCTCTAGTCGCTATATAAGCTGGTGCACTAGCTCATTTCTGTTCGTATTTTTGGAGCAGCCTTGGATGTTGAAGGAAAAGCGCATTTGCAACCGAGCGACAGTAAGTCAGCAGAACAAATGCCTTTGGCTTGAACAAATTTCAACAGATTTCCACTTTTCATATCGCCATTTTGTGTTCTCGACGCAAACACACACACACACACTCATACACACACATTTACATTGAAGCAGTTTGTCAACATGAAAAGGTTAACAAGGTAAATAAAAAACGCTAAAGCAAAAGGTGACAGCATGAAAGGAGAATGCGCAAAAAGAATGGCGGCCAAAGGCACAAAAGCCGAACACAAACAATGTTGCAAAAGGGGCTGGAATGTGACATAGGCAACGGCGCGAAAGCTGGCAACACTGGCGCACAGGCCAAATCTCAGCCAGAGCCAAAGGCGATGTATCTGCGTGTGTGTGTGTGTGTGCGTGTGTGTGCGCCTGTTCGTTTGTGTGAATAACAACATTTTAAACATGTTAACTTTTTATTTTGCTGCCTGCGCCAAGACTTGTGCAATTTATTTCACCATGCAGCTCTTTTGCCCGTCGCTCCAACCAGCTCCAACTCCAACTCCAGCTTCAGCTTCATCTTCATCAGTCTCAGCTCGAGTCTTGTTCCATTACAAAGCATGCCCAGCGGCTGGGCCAGGTATAATCTTTTGCTTGTCTTTCACTTTAGCAGGATGAGCACAACAGCCGCGCGCCCCTTGCCACAGTTGATGTCATCCAGCGTATTCCCTAACCCAAACGAGTAGCTAAGCTTGGATAACTCAAGACAGAGCCATAAAATAAATTTAAAGATTTATATATATATATATTGTTACTGCTATTTCTGTCTAAATTTTCGTCAGTATATTTTCATGAAGGGCATGCGAAGTTCGTATAGGTTTTTCTTTACGTCTCTTTATTTATTTTTGTGCAAAAAGGTGAAAAGCCGAGTTAAAAAAGTATTCGTACAGCTCGCGGCGGTCAGCGCTTTAACTTTAACTTCAACTTTGACATAGTTCACTGCCAAGGCGGCTGAGAGCGACTACCCGATGCTCTATAATTTGGCGATCTTGAGGTAGGCTTACGGCTAATATAAGTAGTATGCTTATCCCATGCAAAAATACTAGAAATATAATACCAAAATATATAATCCTGCAATACCCTGAGCAAATTTGTACAGGGTATAGGCTATATATACGTGAAAAAGTGAGCAACAAATGCCCGCTCGTATTCTTAAAGTCAAGTGAGCAGCAGCTGCCCATTGGCTGCCACAGGCCCCACTATGTGGCGTGAACTGCTTGCTTATGCAGCGCAACATGCCGCGCTTGACACATTTCTCTGGAGACAGGCGCACGTCGTCAGGCAGGGCAACTTGTCAATGCAGTCATCAATGTCCGGCGTGACAGCCCCCAGTGCCTGGAAGAATTTTACGCTCTTACAGCGCACGCACAGCCAGCTGCCCCACATTTCGCCCACCCGTAGCGTAGCCAACGTGTTGCATTCCGCACTGTGGCACAGTGGGTTACTGTGCCAATGACCAGCCAGCCAGCAGTCAGCAGGAAGCAGTCGACCGACGCGTCGGCAGTCAGCCAGAGTGCCAAGTGCTGCTCGTTCCAAGATCTACGTCCAGCGGGCTGTGGCAAATATTAATGAGCAAGTGTCACAAGACGTGAGCAAAATTTATCCAAATTTTAGAGGGTATATTAAAGTAATAAAGTACTAAATTTAGGTTAAGTACTAAATTAAGTACTAAATTTAGCTCAAGTACTAAATTTACTTTAAGTATTAAAATAGCAATAGACATACATATGTAATAAACTCAAAAATCTATAATTATTCCGCTTGAAATCTATGATAAATAAATTCAGATATTTTTACAATGTACTATAATGTATTCTATTACTATAAGCAATATCTCTTCTGCTTATATAGAAAGCAAGAAGGAAGGCTTCCGTTCCACTATTGGTATATATAAGATTCGAAATATCAAATCATTAAATTCATAGCGAAAACTATCAACTATAAATCTTCAGCCAACATATTTATAACTTTTAAACTTACACTGCCCTTCCCTGTCAAATATCTCCCATCTAATAAGTCATAATTAAAACTTAGCTCGCAATTATGTTCAGTGTTACTTAATCTTTCATTTGTATCAGCTATTACCTGACAGTTGTGCCCCATGGCGTATGCGTGATTTGGCTGATTATGTTCCCTTTGATTGCCTCAAACTTTAACATTTTGCAGCACGTGCGGTACGCTGTGTAACAGCAGCAGCAGCAGCCGGAGCAGCTTCAATGTTCCCCAAAAAAACGAGGAAAAAAGTTGCGACAACCCACAAAAGAGTCACGTGCAGAAACTTTCTTAATTTAAAAGAAATTTTCAAACAAACTCAATTAAATAATTTCAGGCGCAAATAAAGATGTGTTAGACCTGGGGAGAGAAATACACGTGGTTTTTACAGCATTTCTACAGTCAGTTTCTCGCTCCCTCTCTCTCTCCCTCTCTCCCCCTCGCTTTCCTATGCTTTGTCACTTTTTCGCTCGTTTTGCTAGACAATTTTAATACCACAAAATTTTAATTGAGCTAATCCTTAAAACCACATGCTGGCTAACGAGCCAGCTGCTAGCTGCTCGCTGTTCTGTGCTAGCCAGGGCTAATTTGCCGTCCAGACGGCGGGTGGTTGGCGGTGCTGCAGCCGGAAATGCAGCCACATTTGCACAGCTGCAGCAAATGATTATTGCTGTTCGGTATATTAGCTAAGTTGGCTGTGCGTTGGCAATTGATGAAGTCGGAGCTGACGCCGGAGCTGCCAGCTAGGTCAGTGCTACAAATTGAGTCAAACGAACAAGTTCGACAGCCACAACTACAACCAAAACCACAAGTCACAACCACAACTCACATCTCATCAAAATGGGCTCTACACAACACCCCGATTTCGAGGAGAACTTTCTGCTGAAGCCCTCGAAGGTGGACGATCTGTTCAAGTTCTTGGACGAAATAGCTAAGGCTAACAAAATGGAGTAAGTGCCTGCAGCCGCTAGTCGCTTCATAAGTCTTTAACCTGAACTGTTGATTCAAGAAAGAAGAAGGACGAGAAGGTCGAGGTGGACTTGAGTGCGGGTGTTACGGAAACCAATTTTTTGGTCATGGAACGCTGCCCTCTGGGCTTAAAGAAGCCGAGCTTCAAGAAAACTAGCGTTGTGTCCAATCTCAACCAGATGACCTTCATGCGCCAGATCGATATGACTTCGGATCAGCGCAATACCGCTCGGATAGAGCGAGTACGCGTTGCAAACAATTATCGCAGGTGAGATTAGTTATGATTCTTCAAGAAAAGCTTGCTCACTCCCTCTCTCTCTCTCTCTCTCACTCTTTCTCAGACTCGGCAACGCGGAGTTCCGAAAGCCCAACTACGAAAAGGCTATTGAGATGTACAGCAAAGGTCTGCAATACATATCCGATACCGAAGTGCTCTACCTCAATCGCGCTCTGTGCTATGTTAAGTGAGTTCTCTAAATACCTACATAACTCCGTGTTTAATATTCAACTAATACTTGTAGAAAACGTGAATACAAACGGGCCATAATCGACATAGATTTTGTGTTGTACCACCTGGATTTCCATAGCTTGCGAGGCTGGCTCTATAAGGCCGGCACCCTGAAGCGCATGAACAACGAGGCTGGCTATAAAGAGTGCGCTGATAATGCGCGCCGATTCAATAGGGAATTCGTCGGTTTTGTTGATAAATTCCTAGAAAAAATGAGAACAGATTTTTGATTTTTCAAATTTTATCATTTGACTAAATGCAAATGCTAAAAATTTTGTTTATTTAGGCATTTCGTTGAAATACGATTCGTTTTACATTCACTCTCCATTGCATAGAATAACTAAATAAATTTGCTATAGATATTTATATGAAACTGAATTTTTAATGGTTCATACTCTTATTTTAAATCATTGCTGCAATTGCAGCATCTATGAGTGTAGCAACAGGATGATAATCCTATTTTATTCGCTGCATTTATGCAGCGTAAGTAGGCTGTGATCTGGATTCCCGATCATGGGAGCGAGCACACAAACATTAACTCAGTATTGAAAACTGAGTCAAACAAACAACAACAAAGACAAACAAAACACAAACAAACAATAACAGAGACAATACATAACAAACGAATCACAGGAAGACAACAAGGACACAAACACTTCGACACAATGTCTACCCTGGTGCACGCAGAGCTGGAGGAGAACTTCTTGAGTAGGGGTTCCTTGGTGGACGATCTGCTCAAGTTCCTCACAGAGGTGGCAAAGTCCAATCAAATGGAGTAGGTGCAAGAGTGTACATTCGATTTCCGATAAGTGATCGATATCAGATAATCGTCCCCTTAGCGCCGGCAAGAAGGAGAAGGAGGCCAAGGTGGACATTGACTATAGTGCGGGTGTCACGGAGGACAACTTTTCGGTCATGACGCGCATTTCAACCGGGAAAAGAGAGTATACCAAGAAGGAGTCCATCAATAAGAAAATGATCAGAAGGTCGGTAATACCTGGGAATTTGGACCAAATGACGTTCATGCGCCAGATCGGCCTTAGCTACGAAGCACGTGCGAAGGCGCGCGATGAACGCATTCGCGTTGCCAACAATTTTCGCAGGTAATTCATGGAAATTCTCATCTTTCTGATGGCGCTAATTGATTTTCACTCAGACTGGGCAACGCGGAGTATCGCAAGATGAACTTTGACAAGGCAATAGAGTATTATACGAAGGCCATTGAGTACATCAGCGATTCGATAGTTCTCTATGTGAATCGCAGTCTCTGCTTCGCCAAGTAGGCCCCCTTCCAACTAAACCAATGCTATTTATCTAATCAGCTCCTCCCTGGACAGGAAGCGCGCCTTCAAGCGCGCTCTGATGGATCTGGACTATGTCATACTGAACTTGGACGAGCGCTGCCTGCGCGCCTGGCTGATCAGGGCCGGCACCTGCAAGCGGATGAACGATGAACGTGGCTATGAGACCGCAGTGGATAATGCGCGCAGACTGAACCAATCGCAGGGGAAGTATATCGATTATTTCCTGGAAAAGGTTCGCTCCGATTTCTAAGCTGCACTTGCATTATAAACATATGTACATATTAATACATTGATACATTGATAAATTGATACACTAAAGCAATTAGAGAATGAAAATAACAAAAAACATAAAATTCATAATAATAGAGATATATAAATATATAAATAAATAATTGATAAATAAAAATAATGATAAAATATGAATAAATAAAATAAATCAATAAAAATATACTAAAATAAATAAATATAGAAATAGTTTTAATAGAAGAGTCTTATAAGCCCAAAAGCTACTCAGAAAACTCTTCCAGAGCCGAATCGAAGCTTATTTAAAGTTCATATATTTATATATCAAATCTGCTGATATTGAACTAATTTATTTTTTGTGCTGCAAAAAATGTTTTTCGTTGATAACCAAGTTTATGAATTTATTGACAAATTAAATTTAGCTCTCAATAATTTATTGTCAAAGCCCATTTAATATAACATTGCTTTTCGAACTTTAATAAACAACGCAAACTGCGCAAGTGTAAAAAAATATTGAGGGCGATAACAACAACAAGAACAACAACAACAACAACAAGTGGAACGAACAACTGTGGGCCAAATGAAATTTGCAATTTTTGCATAAATTCAATAAAAATTCCTATTGTCATGAGAATATTTGCCAATACAATATACACACACTCGCACACGCACTCGACAATACAAGCAGCCAGCATCCCCCCCCCCCCCCCCCTCCCTTTTTCCTTGCCCATCGTCGCCGTCGCCCGTTGCCCGTTGCTGGTTGCTCGCTTTGGTAACTCCGATAGGGCCTGCCCCGCCCCATTTTGTATGCTGCCCGCCTTCAACTCCAGTTGCAGGCACGATAAGGGCCACTTATACGCTTCGTTTGGAGCACGCTTACCCACAGAGGGGAGGCGTGGCAGCCACAGAGTTTTCAATATGGCGCCAACAGCATTTGCATTTGCATTTGCCTTGGCTAAGCCAGGCAGTTGTGTGCCATAATGAAATGCAGTTCAAATGCTTTGGGTATAAACTTTTGTCACAACTGCCAGAGCGAGGCGTGGCAAGGCAGCATTCCCCCATCTTCCCCCTCTAATGCTGCCTGTGTGGGATGTGTCGTTGTTGCATTGTAAACTGTGGCAAACAAACGCAACGGAAGTGCCACAAAAAGGGTTTCACAGTTTGTCAATTGTATGCGACCGCCGAGCCGACACCTAAGCCACCGCACCACCGCACCACCACAGCACCACAGCAGCCGACAGCTCTGTGGTCGCTGGCATTTCCCATGACACTACTGACACGCTGCCCTGACTCTGGCCACACTGGCAGCCGCAGTCTGTTGTTGACTGTGCATCTAAGAAATGCAAAAATCCTTGTGGCTTAAATTCTAATCAATGTGGCTGTTGCCACGCCCACGCCCAACGCTTGTAATCAATGCTGTAAACACTTATTTTTGTGGTTGCATCGCTGCAACAGCTACCACAGCAGTCATTGCCTTTGCCTGCTGGCAACCAATTCTGTGGCACAGCCAAAGTTTGCCGCATGCCTCAGCGTTGCCCGCTTCCTGGTCGAGAATGTTGAGCTCTGCTCTTTTTTGCTATCGACTAGGACTAAGCCCTGACATCAGTGTCGCTTCTGCAACGTTGCGGCATTTCCTAGGTGTTGCACTACGAAAAACCCTTTAGAATAGTCACTGAATAGTTGGAAAATCCGCAATGCAACGGTTAAGCTAAAACATGTTAGCCTTAAAGGCGAATATGGATACAACTTGTGTAATATATTGTGTCTATTGTAAATTACCATCTCTTCTTTTAATAGGCCTCGAGATAAGTTTTTGTATTCTCATTTGGTCAACTTGATTCAGAGATAGCTCTTTCGTTTCCTTCGCAAACGGAAGTCAGCTGAACTACTTTGCAGCTCTGCGACCCATTGGGTTCGCTCTCCTGGCAATGTCCTTAGAGAAATGCGACGGCTGAGCGTTCAACTTCATGGCTATAAGCCAATGTCAACAAACAGCTTCATAAATCAGGCTACGCTTGATCTCTGTGAACAAAAATTTCATCCTGCTGCCAACATCTATTCTCAGGAGGATCACTATAAACCCATTTTCAACACGCATTCAAACTATATTTTAGCATCGCAGTTGCTTGGGACATTCTCACTTCCACGGCCACTTCCACTCGGCCACACCCACGCTCTATCCCCGTCCTGCTTCTATCTAGCTGGCAAATTGTCCAGAGCTGTGTTTAGTTTTCAGCTTGCGGCTTGTGGCTCTGCATCTCGGCAGCGTCTTGGCCAAAAAGTAATTTGGCCTTTATCTGTATTGCGGTTTAAACAGCCAAACAAGACCCGAACCAAATGCTCGTTGGCCATGCGGGAGAAAGCTCTCGGGTTGAGCATGAGTACGTATTGGGTACATTGTCGTTGTTTTAATATGTGTATTTTTGTTTGTTTGCCATCATTTCTATTCCACACCCTGTACGCACTAATGCCATGCAAGTGGGTATATAGGACGACACAGTTTGGGAAATCTAATCAGCCTTCACATAATATTTTACATAATATATTGAGATATTTTATATAATATATACACTATTTCCTCTGCTTATTTTTCTGTTGAAGCTAGAAAATATAATTTAAAATATATACGCTCGCTTATCTCACGCCTGCATATTATCGATAAATATCGATTTCACAGAAAATTTAGCAGTTGATCATTTATAGTGTTGTTCAATAAATATTATGTCATGCTAGTTTTTTGTTTTTAGATATTTTAATCAATGAAGCCTTAAAGTTCGTACATTCACACAGGTGCAATTTCAATCTTAAGCTAAATTGAAAAGCGCATCCAGCGCATTTGCACACTTTCCTGCCATTGTAATGCATCCTCATAGAGCGGTGCAAACTTCTTGGGGAACTGGCGCTTCAGACATGAGATCACCGTGCCGGTCAGATAGTGGCGCGGTGACCAATCGCACTCGCACGGCGGACAACAGGTGCTGCAATTTTTCGAACAATGCTCAGAGCCTATTTTTGGCCCTGACTTAACATTTTTCAGACAATTTAGTTGCCAAGGCCCCTGGGCATCGAACTCAGACGGGGTGCTACAGAGGAAATCCACTGTTTCATCTACCACATCCGAGGATTCTTCTTCAAGGGTACTATTGCTTGGAAATATATCGATGTACATGTTGAAGCGCGGCATGCCCCCAATTAGCTCCTTGAAGTTGTGTTCACGCTCCCTACGCAGCCACAGTTCGAGAAGATCCCAGTGCTCCAAGTTCTTAGAGCGTTCGCGGATGAGGCGCATGCGAGTATAAAAGTCCGAGCGCCTGAGTGCATCATAGTTGACGCCCGTCTGCGTGTGCCACAGCAAGTAGAGCTCGTTGGGCTTCTCGTCCGGCAGAGAAATACTGTGTGAGAATTTGGTCAGCTCAAAGTGAATCAGCATCCGGATGCCATAGGTAATGTGTTTGATATGGTCGAAGTCCTTGATATTCATTGCCGACAGCGCGGCAGCATCCAGTAGCAGGAGCTTGCGGCCCTTGATCTTATTCACACGAAATGTGTTCTGTGGATTTGATAGAGAGCCCAGTGATCGCTTTTGCTGTTGACATTCATTCTCTTATTGACTCACCACGTATTGGGGATATCCATAGCGAAGAATCCAGCGTCGTGCAGCCTTGCAGTCCCATTCAAAGACCGACGTCAAGGGCACCTCATCGACTGCGGCAATACACAGTTCGAGCAGAGGTGTGGGCGAGTGATGGAACGGCAAGGGCCACAGGGAGTGATCAAAGTGGACTCTCCTTTCCAAGAGAGGAGTACGACGAAATTTGTGTGGTGGAATCGGAATTACTTTTTTAGGACTAATCCTACGCTTGAATTTCGTATCTGTTGCGCCATATAGATAATTCATTATATATATAGGTGTATAAAGGTATAGGAGTGTAAAGGTGTAGGAGCATAAAGGTGTGAGAGTATTAGTGTCAATATAAAGATGTAGAGGTTTACAGGAGTATGGGTATCTATCAGTGTATGTGTGTATGGGTAGGTATATGTATTGTGTAATCAGGGAATAATCTGTTTGGGAACAGAAATGACAAAAGTGTCGGAGAATACTGTTTCATATTTAAATAGCAAAGCATCATATGGAATACGAATAATATGCAAATGGATAGTATAAGAGTTTTGAAATGGGTCATCTCTAAAAGAGTTGCCAAGGAAACATAGATATACGAATATTATTGAAGATTGTTGTGCTAAAACTTAAAAATAATATATATATATATTAAGTATATATTTTATTTATATTATATGAACTTAAAATAATTTACAAATTAAATATATAATATTGTTAGATTGATTAATATTGTTAGATTGATTATTGTTTAATAATGCTTGAGTATATTCATATACATTCATATATCTATATAATTTTCTTTATGCAGACAGGTCTAATATTATTTTCATTGTGCCACCAGGCATCTGCTAGTCGTTCACTCTGGTTTAAATGCATATTTCCTCTTATTTTGGGTTTTGCTTTTCTATGCTCAGCCACTTCCGGGACTCATTATGGCTTAGCCAAAATTGCATTTTGGCTGCCAGAGCTTGGGGAACTTTTGCGTTCTTGGCCAAGTCGGTTGGGCGTGATGCGTATTTTGTTTATTTTGCAGTTGGCTCGCTCGACATTAACCAGAAATTGAACTAGCTGAGCGCCAAAGTTTTTCATTAAGCAGACAGCCTCGACTCGTCACAGCCAGAGCGGCTGTCGTTGCGAGGCTGGCAGTTCATTTAAAGTTCTGGGCAGACCATTTTAATTAGCATGCCAATTCAGTTGGCTGGTCTGTCCCCCCGGCCCTGCACTTCCCAAGTCGAATGACCAGAAATCTATTGACACTTTTGCGCTTTATTAAATGTTTATTTGCTTTGTTGATTTTGATTTTCTCATCGAGTGCGCAGCGAATTTGAAATGCAAACAACAACAGTATGAGAAAACTCTGTCGAGGGTCGCATCATCAATATGTGCGCAGCCGAAGGGCGAGCACGCAAGGCGGAATACGGCTGGATTCCGAGTGTTTCACTGTGACTAGCTTAAGGTTAAGGATGGCACACACCCACACACACACCCCGCTTCCTCTGTATGAGCACGCCCGCTGGCAATGAACAGTAAATAAGGCAAATCTATATGCGAGAGGAAACCAAGTCACACACACAGACACACACACACACACACACTTGGCCAGTGGCTGCGACAATGACTGGCCAGAACAAATAGAAGACACAGCCAAAGCAGCGCCCTCTCGCGTCTGCGCCCGCTTCTGTTACCGTTACTGTTACTGTTGTTACACTTACCGCTACTGTTACAGTTACTGAATTAGCAATTGACTATATTGGCTGGGTGTTGTACGCTGACTATTGGCTGAACAATACCCAAAGGTGGTCTCTTCTTTTGGCAATGCACTGAAGATAATTGTGGAGTGATTCTTAAGGCATGAAATATACATCAATTTTTAAAAATAAAAAAATAAAATATTCCATAAATAAAAAAAGTCAATCAAAATGATAATAAATTTAAATAAAATTATATTAAATTTTAGAAAATTAATAAAGTAGTTACTCAATAAATAATATTAGAATAAAAAATAAATAAAAATAATTTTCCCTTTGATTGCCACTGTAAGACTTGATTGAAGTATGCATTAGCTCTGTTAATCTTCATAAATCAACAATATTGGAATGTTAGTTAAGGTATCTTATTGGATTTGTTTGTGCTGAGTAAACAAGAAAACAATGGATGCAGCATTGCGTGTAGTTCACTCGAAAGTTTTTCTAGTGTTGGCTGCTACGATACATACACATACGTATTTCCCATTTTCACACACAGACAGATGAAATGTATTCACGTTGCTTTTTCATTATTCATGACAACTTGCTCTTGGCCGTGCTCGTTGCTAGCTGTAACTGAGTCAAAGCAAACACCAGACACAAATACAGACAAAGGTAGAGACAGCATCAGCAAACACAAAAAAAAAATTGAAGGAAGTAAAATGAAGATGGCACACACACACACACACAGACACACACTAAGGCATATACAGATTGTGAGCGGAAAAATAACAAAAATGACAATAAAAAGCAGTAAAACAATTTTCCCTCCCACCGCGAGGCGTAGACAAAGTCAGAAAAACAGCGAACCCAAAAGGAAACTAATATTTTAAGAAAACAAGACACGGCCACCGCCAGGGTGGTTGGATGGGCGATGGTGTTAGTGGGGGGATGGTTTCTCTTACACATGTGGCTGCATGAAATGAAGGCAACAGTTTTGGAATGCCTGAGTGTTGGTGTGGGTGGGTGGTTCGGTGGCTCGCCGGCTTAGCCTTTGCGCAAGTGGCCGTCGTCAAATTCAAGTGACATATTTAGACAGCTAAGCGACTCCCAAGTGTGGCATCCACAGCACAAAGCAAAGGTGAAGTGGCAGTGCCACAGACGCAGCCACAGCAGCATTAGCAGGAGCAGGAGCAGGAACAGGAGCAGCAGCAATTTTGCAGCAATTCCAGCTATTGTTGTTGTATCCCTTTTTTTGTGTGCCATGCAGCGAGGGCTCTTTCCTTTATTTTTTGTAGCTCACGAAACCCCTCACGAAACATAAAAAAAAACCCCAAGCAGCAGCAGCGGACAACCCCACAGAAACCAACGACGACGACAGTTGCTTTTAATAATAAAATCATTGAGCATCAAAGCATAAAAATCAGTCAAGTGCAACATAAGCTTAAAGACCCCGTCGCATGTATGGGTGGTTGGCTGCCAGGAATCGAAGGTGGCCCTTCTAAGGTAGAGCAGTTTCCCCTCGCTGTGCTGTGCATGAGTTCGATTTTGGTGAAGCATTTGTGTTCCTCTGCAACCTCGTCGCTTTTTTATTATTGCCCAGCAGGAGAAATGAATGTGACTTAATGTTATTTTTACAGCCAAATTAGTTGGCTTTTGATGTGCGTTTAACTTTCGTTGATGCTGCTTTAACTTTAAGCCAGACCAGGCAAACTGCTCGAGAAATAAGATTGAATAGGTATCATTCTATCTGTTTCTTCTCTCTCTTTCTCACTGCCTGTCTGTGTTCATGAATGGCCGAAGCCTTGAATACTCTGTTCAGGTTGGATACTCTTTTTGAGGAACTTCAATTTTCATAACTTTTGTTGTTTTATAGTTGATAAATTGTCAATAATTTTTTCAATATTTGCAGTATATATTTTATTTATATAAATCTTCAGTATCACATTTTGTTTTCATAATTTCATTTAATTTTTCACAATTTTCTGAGTAGCGACTTTATTGATTTTATCTAAAAAATTCTTTACTGGCTCTAAAGTTCCATGACAATTTCCTTATTTTGCTGACAGAGCATATTTTAACCTCACTCGAAAATAATGTTAGTAATGCATTCGTGCTTTAATTTACATAAGTTTGCATCAGCTAAAATTTTCTATACTCATTTCATACCTAATAAATATTATATATGTATATATAGCCTTATAGCCTTTTCAAACTGACCATTGGGCTGCTGTTATTGCTGGAATATCCCTATTCAATATAATATAATTAATTTTCAGTGATCTGGTCACACTCGAAGCTCTCTTTTTGGCAGCTTATGTATCGCATTTGATTAAATTAAATTCTAATATAAAAACATAATCAACTTTATTCGAATCTACTACCATCAAGGCTATCAAGAACTATAGCTTCTACATATCATATCTCATGCGTTGCACAGTGCGTGAGGAAATCAAAGTATCTGCAGCTAGAATATGCGAGCTGTGCGGCGGCAATACAGTTTATTGGGCACGCACATTTTGTGCGTAAGTTTTTTTTCTTTTTTTTTTGCGGTGGAGGATTGGCAGACGAAGTGAAGCATAGACGGCACAAAGGAGAGCAGGAGAGACGGATGCGGATGTGGATGTGGATGCGGTAGCCAAAGTTGGAAAAGGTGGTGTATGCAGTCATAAAGAGACGCCGCAGCGCCAGTTGGGCCCGCTGCGTGCAGCCATAAAAACTCATAAACTGGATTCGCACATGTGTGCGTGTGTGTGTGTGTGTGTGCTGTATGTATCTTTAAGATACATTGGCAGGCACATTAAGTTGCGACAGGGCAGGCAGCTTATTGCCACACTCACGGGACAGACATCGGACGGCAGAAGTTAAGTCAAGTGCAATCATTTCAAGCTGCTGCATTCGTAATTGCATGAAGTACTCGCAAGTGCTCACAATTCATATGCCTAGCTCGTAATGCGGCAGCTGTTGCCATCCATTCGGTGGCCAGCACTGAAGTGTGCGCACTTCAGTCTGATGCCACTTGTCAGACCTGCGGACGTATGCAGAGTTTGATTGGGAAATGAGCTGTGCGAGAGCTAAATATTTGTTTAATTACTTTTTGCTGTACATTGTTTACAGGGTATTTCACAGTTGCCGTTGTAGATTCTGTTTGTCCAGCTGAAGTGCTGCTCGCAGCACAATATTCCCAAATGCACTTGCTGAAAAATGTTGGAGTGTCTGGTCAAAACTGATTTGATTAGCAATTTCAATTCAGTTGATGATGTGCAAAGCTTTCCAAGTAACAGCAAAACTCTGGCTATTGCAACGAAAAACTTGTCTGACCAAAGAGACTCGAGTACGTTTCGAGGTGCAAAGTAAGCAAGCTGGCTTCAAAGAGGATTTATTTCAAGCCCTGCATATTATAATACATATGGGATGCACTTGTAAGATGCTTTACTTAAAAGCCAATCTGATGTACTGAATCACATTCTGTCTGTGTTCCTTGAATTTAAGCTCAAATTTAAATATTTCCTCTCAGCAGCTTTAATCTGTATCTGAACTCATTTGCGTGCAGCCCCAAACGAATTGATTTATAATTTAAATTAAATGTATCTCGGCACACGACAATGAAGAGGCCAAACAACGCACATACACAGCACGCCCTCCAGCGCAGGCAAACTCAGCTAGACAGGACGGGACAGGAGGCAACCCTTTAAGCTGTTTTGAAGATTGTCCGCGGCGTTAAGCTCCGCTTCACGTCGACGCTGCCATCTAAGCCCTGCCGCACGAAAATCAAACAAACCAAACAGTCCGAGGACATTGAGACAGAGCTGCTCGCCCGGCATCCTTGTCCCGCATTGCCTGACATCATCCTTCGTCCTCTGGTCCACGCGCATAGTTTTTCCACGACGCGCTGCTGTGCGGCTCATTGACATCATTTGCTTTGTACTTGCGAGCTTGTTATTTTCTACAAATTGTTAATTATTTTCATTGCGCTTATTATGAAACTTTCTGCCCCAGCCGCCCCTCCCTCTCTCTGTCGAAACTCTACTCCGCTGTTTGTCGCTTGTTGTCCTTAAGGATTTTTGGCATTTAATTAAGCGCAATTAAATTGACATTTTAAACAATTTAAACAAGCAAATAGACGTCGCAATTGGCTACCCCCACTCCCAGCCACGCCCCACAGCTTCAAGGCGGCTTCCCTTTACGTACTTTGGCGCATATTGAAACGCTTTATGGCCAGAGGCCAATTGGCTTGCTGCCTGTCGTGAAGTCCTGGAAGCTTTAACGCAGCCGAAAAAATCGATAAATGAGCGGTCCAATACCAGGCCCCAACGTCAACCTTAAGCGTCCGAGCGCCCCCACCCCCACCGCCACGGCACATGCGTCTATTAATTATGTCTTTTGCCGTTTTGTCACATTTAAAGGCGAAGCAATTAAGTTGCCAGGGGAATATTATGGAGAGAGCAAGAGAATGGGCGAGCCAGGCATAATGTATACCCAGAGTCACATAATACGTATCAATGGACACAACATGGACATGGACATGGACATGGACATGGACATGGCTGTGGATATGCTGCTGTCCGTCTCCATTGCCCACTTTGCTACGTGACCAGCACAGTAATTCATATGAAAATTTAATTTGTTAGGCCGTACAAAGTGAACAAACGGGCCTAAAAGGGAGGGCCAGTCGCTGGAGGAGCAGTCAGGGGGCAGGCGGCAGACGGAGGAGGTATAGCTGCAGCGGGGCAATGAAACCAAATGGTTTTTACGTTTCTAACCGCATGTGAAAATAAATATTATTAGGTAAGCATTGAAAACAAAAAAAAAAATAGCCAAAGTTAGCTAAGTGTAAACGAGACTGCTCAGCTAGCAAATACCCTGGACCAAAGACACTCAAGGTTTGCTTACATTCATTCCAGGCTACTATAGATCCATGTAAAAATCTAGCCATAGCCTTAGCTTAGCTCGTAGTATTATTGGAAATATATTATTATTATATATTCACTTAAGAATAAAATGTAAAAAAATTAAATAATAATTATTTCAATTTAAATATACGTCTGATATCACAGTTGATTCAATATCCGAATGAGTTTCTAGCTTAAAATATACAAATGTAAATTTCATTTAAACTACAGTCAAGCACGCCCTCGCTTCAATTGTAATTCCACCAGTTTGGCAGGGTATAAATACCTTTAATACGTGTGTTTGGCATCATGAAATATGAAAAATGATTGCATTTTTGGCACAAACAGACGGAATGCGGTTTGGCTTGTTTTCGCATTGTCAACACGTGGCCGAAAGCCGCAAAGTATGCAACGCAGTTTCCGCTTTTAGGATAATTTTTGTGATTTTGATTGCCGGCACCGCAATTTGAATGATATTTGGTTTTCTCGCGGTCGCCACATGCCATCAGAAATGTATTGGTTTAAATTCATTTATTTCCAAACACATATATCGCTGTCTGTATGATATATTAGTTTATTAAGTGCCATTGAGAATAAATTCTATGCGAATATTTATGCCTGTGCCTCTATGAATGTTTATATAAAATTAATCTGAAGTGTTTTTGAACATTTTTGGTCAATAATTGTTAGCATCAGCTTGGGCAATATAAGTGTTTAATATTTGGTTTAGTTTAGTTTGGGATTTGCAGGCCATGAAAACTTTAATTTTAAAGTTGATAAAAGAGTCTAGAGAATATGTAAATTAGTTTTTCATGTGTTTTTAATAATGTTAACAGCAAATTTAATATGACAAAATCATTGCTCTCTTATTTTAAATTCTTGAACAATTTTTTGCTGCATTAAAGCGCTTCATTATAGCTGGAAAATGGTCAAAAATAGCTAAAATATTGTGCGCAAACTTCCATTAAACACGGCATACAGATTACCTTGATTGAGATTGAAGACTATTCATCTTATATGGTTCTACTACTTGTCCAATTAGTGGATAAAATAATTTATATTTCTTTTTGTTTTGTACTTATAATTTCAGATATATTTATGATACAATAAAATCATTTGATTTGGAATAAGTTTAACAAACTGAAGCACATTTTCTCTAATTGAATTTGAAATTCCTATTTTAATTAGCGCTGCGATTCAGCTTAAGTTTGTTCATAATATTATGATAGTAAGCGCATTTATCTAAAGATATTTATACCTCGAGCCAGTAAATTAGGTAGAATGCATTTCACACTATTCACAGCATCGATCTTGGTCCATTTTAATGTAAATTGAAAATGTAAGCGACGCATTAAGCTCATTAGCTCAGCTATGCAGAAAATGCCGGGCGGACGAGGAGTGGGCCGGACGGAAGGGAGCATGACTGAATGCAGCTGAAGACAAGTCAGCTGAACAGCTTAGCAAATAGAGTCCAATGAAATAATTAGCAGGACAAGGCGATGGCAAGGCAGAGCTGCACAATTTGCATGGCCAGCGCCACCTGACTGTGGCCAGTGGTTGGATGGTGGAGTGATGGGGTGGTTGGGTGGTTGGGTGGTTTCGGTGGCTAGGCGGCTAGGCGGCTTGGCGGCTTGGCGACTGGGTTTGCTAACTTTGGACAGCATTTTAAATTTCATTAAATCAGCTCACTTCGTTTGCCAATGCAATCAACATCGCAAAGCGAAGGCAAACTAAAGCGAACCGGCAACAAGGCCCGTCGCAGGCGCCGCTTTTTATTTGCAACGCCTCAAGTGCTTGAAAATCTACTTAGATGCCCAGCCCGCCCGTTGACCGCTGAGGGCGTGCGGGGCAGCGCTTAACCTTACGTAATTAACTTGCTTGACGCTCGCTTTTCCACAATTTCTTTTTGTATTCGTATTCTTTAGGCGAAGGGTATAGTGAGCTACACAGTCAGCTTGAGCATCTCTCTCTATGTCTACTTAATTCGGATGGACTTTTCTATACCTAGTAGCTATGCGAATTATCTATCTGTTTTATTATGAGTTAATTTAAAAAAATATATAAATATGTACTGTAGTTTATAACTGGATATGTTGATCAGTTCTTATTTTATGTAAATATTCATAGAGCATTTAAACATCGTTAGGTGTCTCCTCTCTCTCTCTCTCTCTCTCGCTTCCTTTGTCCATCTGCCTTTCCTTCTCTAACAATCTCTGTCTCTGTTGCCTCAACTTAACTTGTCTGTTTTCTCTCCTCTTTAGCTGCTATAGAATTTGTGTTTCTCGTTCTTTTATTGCGTTTTTCTTAGTTTGATCCACTTTGTGCATGGATTTTAGTATAATTTCTTGCAGTTTCTGCAAAGTTTTGTGTTGCTACTTGAAAAAAAGAGAACGAAAAGAAAAACGTCCCATGGCTGGCTTGGCGGAGGCGTTGAATTTGTGTGTTGCTTCGCTTTCGCTTTTCTCTAATTTCTTTGCGCTATTTTTCACAATTTTTTTGCAGTTTCCGTTTTTATTTTTTTCTCGTTTTTCTGACCGCCGTTCGGCTTTCTAAGTGAAAAAGTAAACAGAAATCCATTAGCTTGGCAATCATTGACGGCGCTTCCAGTGGCACATCCCGAACTCCACCTCGTCACTCCCCTCTCCTGCCAGCTGTCCCACTGACCACTTTATATATAATATGTGTGTGTGTGTGTGTGTGTGGGTGGGTGGGTGGCTTTGGCTGGGTGCAAAAGAGTGGCAGAGGTCAGTGTGGCTTTTATAAATTGCTGCCATCAGCGCATTTGTTCCACTTTTTCACTTTTATTTGGGCTTTCGGCTTCCAGGCGTCTGCTATGGATTGAGCACGGCAATATTTTGGTTGTTTATGGGAGAAACAATGAAAGTTTATTTAAATAAATAATAACTTAAAACTAAATGCCAAGACTATTCCACATCAATCTTATACCCCAGATCTATGGAGGCGCGTATGTGTGCATTCAGACTGATGTGGCCGTTGCGCAGTGATTCCTGTGTGAGAAACTCCTTGACCTTGGCCTCGCTTGCGCAGAACACCAAGTTATCCGTCACGTCGATGAGGTGCTGCAGATGCTCGGGAAATCTGTAGAGTATCAGGAGTATGGAGCTGGAGGCGTCCGACTGCCTGCACAAGTCACTCGACAGCTTCGATATGCCCTGGGCAGCCGTGTAGTCCAGGCCCGTTATCTTGTGCCCATCGATGACCACGGAGATCTTGAAGTCCGCCCGTGTGCACGCCTTGAGCACAAGAGCTCTCAGATGATTGATGGCCGGGAAGTAGATGCCATTGCCAGGCACCACCGATATGTACTGCATATCGTCCATTTCCTGTATTCTCACCAATATTTCCGGCCGTGCCCACAGGAAGAGCAGGTGCAGCGCCGTCACCACGATGCTGACAAACAGGCCCACCTCCACGCCAAAGAGCACGCACACACAGAAGCACAGCAGCCAGATGCCGAAGTCCCGTTTCGACTCGCGCCACAGCCGCAGCGGAAGCTTAAAGTCCAGCAGCGTAAAGATCGAGCAAATCAAAATGGCCGCCAGCGTCGCCTCCGGTATATAGTTGAAGTAGGGACTGAGGTAGCTCAGCGCCAGCAGCACAATGATGCCTAGAGGTAAATGCGAGGTAAGTCTGTGACATCATCGAACAGGAGCTGCCTGCACTCACCCAGATACAAGTTGGCCATGGGAGTCTTGAGGCCACAGGCTGTGCTGATGGCATAGCGGGTGAAGGCGCCCGACGAGGGCATCGCCTGCACACAGGAGCCAAACATGTTGCACAGTCCAACGGTGAGCAGCTCGTGATTGGTATCGACCAGACCCTTGGGTGCTGAAACCATACAGGGTAGAAATAGCAATTACAGTCGTGACCCGAGCTGTATCAGCATACTTACTCAGCTTGCCAATGGATATGTTTGTCAGGATGCCAACAATGGGTATGACAATGATGCCCACATTGAGCTCCTGCAGGATCTGCCAGAAGCTAAAGCTACGCTCAGGCGTTTCGATGCTCAAGCTGGGCACCGTGAAGTTGGGCAAGCTGGAGATTGCATTCGAGCTGAGGGAATAGGGCACCGTCTCCCGGTAGCCCAGCCAAATGTAGGAGACAATGCCGGCAATGAATACGATGAGCGTATTCCTCGACGTCGCCAAATAGCGACAGCAGACGCGCAAGGCTTTGCTGCGTTTCTCACAGCGGGCGACGCGTTCCAACAGCTGAGAGGACAGATTGGAAAAGAAGAAGAAGAGGATATACAAAATGAAATATTTCTGTTCAATGTGAATCAATGTGTTTTGTATGCACCTCGAGCAACAGCAGAAATACAATGGCACACGTGCCCATGATCAGATCAGCCATATTCGCCTCGCCGATGCGTGAGCTGAGGGTGCTCACGGAGCTGATGAGGCCGGGCACTAAGTATTTGATGCCCAGGAGGACCTTGATCTGCGACTCAATGACCAGGATTGCTGTGGCCGAGGAGAAGGCTTTGATCACCGGCATCGATATGAACTCAAAGATGAAACCTGAAATTCGTAATTGAATTGAATTGATTGAATGAAATGAGTAAATCCGCAATTATTTCAGCGACTGCAAGTGTCAATTGAATAAATTTATTGAACTAGATCAGGTTTATTTGTGAATATAAAGAATCGTCATCTAACTGTGCTGCCGATGTGATTTCCAGTCACGAAGCGTGATTTACCCTCGTTCCGGCGCATATTGTTTTGTCAGTGAATCGATTAGCACTATAATTACTAAATTAACGACACGTCTATAATTGAGGCACGGCTTTGCTTATCTGTTTGAAGCTGTCCGCTAATTGATCCACTCTACAGTGACAGTTGACAGTGCCACCCTCTATCGACTGTCGGGGAACTGCCTCAAATCGGATATAGCCCGAGTACTCAAGTGCCCGTTCCGCTAATCAGCATTGTACACCCAAGTTCAGGGCGAATGAAGCCAATGAAGATATTGTGTGCAATTGACGTAGGCTCTCTCATATACATATGTATGTCTCTAGTTAGGTGGGCATAGATATTATGCTCGCCACCGAAGAAGAAGCTCTGCTCTACTCTCTTTCAATTATGCGGCGTACGAGCGTTTGACTGACAACAATAAAATAGACATGGCACTAGACTCAATTGGCAGTGACGGCTAAGCGTGCAAGAGAACAATGCAAATTTGCCGGATACCGATAGAGTGTCGACGATATATTAGATGTATGTACATATATCATTTATATGTGCTAGCTGCAAAACACTTGTCTAAATAGAAGATAAGGCTTGAATTGTGTATTGAAAATAATTCAGTTGGTGACTTAGGCAAGCATTTACTAAGGCGATACATCAATCAATCGTAAGTCCTATGGCATATAGCAAAGGTTATTGAGATACCAAATTTGAATGGCAAGGGTTCAATACTTAATATTCGAGTAAACAAATCATTATATTATGCAATCATCTAGTCATTTTTCTCATATTCTGTCAGTTAAACAGCAGATAATAGTAAATCAGTAATGAGTCAGCCAATCTGTTGCTCTGTTTACTGATGAAAATGCCTCAAGGATTCATTGGATGAGTCTGTCAATCCCTTAATCTCTCTCTTATCAGTAGTAGACACTTAGTCAATCATACACACAGGTCACTTACCTACACGTAATGCGCCCATAATGATCTGCACGACGCCACTCAAGAAGGTGAGCAGAAACGCGAATTCAATGGGCCTGTTCACGGTGAACTGGACACTGACCAGGGCGACCAGGCTGGTGGGTCCAATGATGACCTTGTCGATGGAGCCGAAGATCAAATAGATAAGCGGACCTATGAAGGCCGAGCACAGGCCGTAGCGGGCAGGCAGACCCGCGAGCAGGGCGCAGGCAATGCTCTCTGGTATGATAGTTAGACCCAGCGTGATGCCAGTTATCAAATCATCAATGCCCCATTCCATATTGTAGCCGGGCAACCATTGAAACACGGGCACATGTCGCAATAATGCGCGCTTCCATTTGGGCTGTGGCGCCCGCTTGGCCACCTTCTCGGCACTGTTGGCGCCCGACGGGACTTTGGCATCGTTCTGGGTGGACAGCAAACGCACTTTAGTTGCCCGCTCTGTGAGTTCAGGGTCCACTTCTAGTTCCGGATACATGATGTGACGAAGAAGCTGCGATAAGGTCTGCTTCCAGTGAGTAGCGATTTGATAATGATGCTGAAAGCAACGCTCAAGCCTCTGATGAACGCTTTTTAATCGTAGATAGCACCTCGCTGATCGCAAATGACGAAGCTCGAATCAACAACGGACCGACAATTCGCAGTCGTCGTTGTCGTATCTGTAAGAGCGTCTCTATACAGATACAGATACAGATACAGATACAGATACAGATACAGATACAGATACAG